TCACTAGTGAAATTTTGGAAATTAAGTTATTGGTATGATAAGTTCTATTCATATAATTGTAACGAGGTTGGTGATAGGACATATGAAAGTTTAAAGGTCAACTTTATAAGATAAATTTGTATTATTTCATAATTAAACAAACAATTTTGGTAATTTAAAATTGAGAATTTAATAATTCGCTAATATTAGTTAATAAATCATTGTGCAAGAAGGCCCAAGTCTAATTGTAAGAACACGGGGCCAGTGATCTAGAAAAGAAAAAGAAAAATTGAAAAAAACAAATTTTCATAATCGAAAATTACAATTTTACATATCAAAACAATATTTTTGGAGTTCCTCTTGGGAACATTTTTTTGGCTAAAGCTTTTTGAAAACATTGTAAATAATGATTCACAGTGTTACAAACGGCTGCTGAAACTTTTCTGGGATCCTATGAATAATGATTCCCATAATGTTACACAAAATCCCCCTTTGGTGTGTACTTAAAGTGACAATTAATTAATTAAGAAATGCAGCGATATCTTAGAGTGTAAGGGTAGTTAGTTTGAATTATTTCCTTTTTTTTTTATATGTATAATTTCTAAGATAAGGACAATGAAAACCAGATGAAAATAACGTGTATGCACAGCTCTTTCAATCATACCTGTACATTGTTAGTGTTAGCTAGTCAAGCAGGTTTTGCAAGAGGATCGACATACGAAAGTATTCTCAAACGAATTTGTTGCGATTTGATACTGCTGTTTTTTCTGCAAATTTGATACATGTATTTATTATGCACAAAATGTTTAGAAGTAACTATACATATTTTAATACGAAAATCAAATTATTTATATTTCTTTGGGAAAAAAAGATTTAATCAAATGAAAAATTTAGAATTATCCTTTTAGACTGAAAAAAGGGGAGCATTTTTTTATACCACTTCGATTCTCCGAGAAAATCTGAAAACAGAATTATAAAGATTTCCAAATAATAAGCGAGATATATATCTTATTATAAAGTTTGATATTTATTGTATAACGATGTTGGTGTGAAATTCCATTGTTCCTATCGTTCTTGGATACCTTTTACGACATCGACAGCATACCTGTGCTTTTACAAGAGCATCAGGATAACTATTAATTTACCTGGTATGAACTGTTAATTGTAAATGTATCACACTCAAGAATCATGATATTAGATGTAAAGGTAGTTATTAAATAAAAGTTCTTCATGGACGTATTTGGTCTTTGTTTTGCTTCAGAATAAAAAAAGAATATTTATTAAACATCCTCCCTTATAACAAATATAAAAAATATTCAAGATGTATAAAAATAGGTACTTAGTTATAGAATAAAGATTATATAAATGCCTTTTATTGATTGTTAAACTTGGGTGGTCTTTTCTCAATAAACGCAGTCATTCCTTCCTTTCTGTCAGCCTGAAATTTTAATTATATACAATTAAATATACATTTTAAATTGACATACTTACAAAAAATAAATCTTACTGTTGCAAATGTCCCATGGAACATTCTCTTTTCAAAGTGGAGTCCTTCCTTCAAGGTAGTTTCATATGCTAGGGAGAAAAGAAACGAATATTTGAATAAATGAATGATAAAAATGACGGCTACATAATTTTAATGATTACCAGTATTAACAGATTCCTTTGCCATGGCAACAATTAATTGAGAATGAGAACCAATCAGCTCACCCAATTTGACTGCTTCAGCAACAAGCTTGTCTGCTGGGAAGACTTTGCTAACCAAACCTAAAATAACATACATCTACAGACAATAATATTTTTGTATTGCATATAATTTCCTTTTCTTTCTTACCGCTCTTCTCTGCCTCTTCAGCAGTGATTTGACTTCCTGTTAGTACCATTTCCATCGCTTTACTCTTGCCAATAACTCTAGTTAATCTTTGAGTACCACCTGCTCCAGGTATGGTACCAATGATTATTTCTGGTTGGCCAAATCTTGCCTTATCTCCGGCATAGATGATATCGCACATCATTGCTAATTCACAGCCTCCGCCTAACTGTTTATAAAAATATACATACAGCTGTAACTGAAGGAATTTAGCTCACCAAATTTAAACTCCGAAAAAATTACACTTCATATGAACCACCAATCTAATATGTGGATTCTAATACACAATTTTTAATAAGATACTTTATAGAATAAAGAGAGTATTTCCTTGCAAATTGCATCAACTTACAGCATATCCATTTACCGCGGCAATCACTGGTTTCGAAACTCGTGTAATGGCATCCCAATGGGCAAGGAAATTCCCTCTAATAGTTTGCGAATAGCTATTATTTTGCATTTCTTTGATATCAGCTCCTAAAAGTTTAAAATTTAATGAATGTTACAATAGAAATTATGATTTAAATTAAGGCAGAAAACGTGTTTTACCAGCTGCAAATGCTTTTTCGCTGCCAGTCAGGATTATGGCACTGACACTGTCGTCCGTATCAAATTTTGCCACAGCATCGTTTAATTCAGTCATCAATTTGTTACAAAGAGCATTCAAAGCTTTTGGTCTGTTCAATGTAATCAGACCAACATTCTTTTTTTCACCAGTAGTTTCTACCTTGATGAACTCATAATTCTGTTGTACCTGACCTACAATTAAAAGATTACATTAAAATATTCTGTTTAATTAAACTTCCTTTATATATCTAGTATGTACATGAAATTATTTAAGATGTTGACACTGACATTGACAGTATATTTCAAGGTCATTGAGATGAGTGTCCAAAATGTGATCTCATTCATGTGAACATTTTAATGATGACTTTTCATTTTAATAGTGAATCTATAGTTGGTCATTTTTTAAACTTCGTATAAAATGTAATTTAAAATAATATAAATTACTATAATACATTACTCTTAATTTAAAAAAAAAAGATTGTTGAACGTCATTAACGACATCTAACATTGACCTTAAGAATTTATTTATATACCTAATATAGCAGCACATGGAATTTGAAATCTTTATTATAGCCGACTATATTCCATCGACGTTATTTTCCATTGCTTACAATGGTCCTATATATAATTGACCAACTTGATACTTGAATAACGTTAAACCAATGTTTCATAAACTAAAATTATAATAATAATAAAATTATAATAATCCTAGGGATTTATATAAGCATGTACTACAATTTATATCAATAAGTCTATTCCTTTTTCTTATTAATACTGTACTCACAACAATAATATTTCACATTTGACGTGAAATATTGTGATTTCCGACCAATTTGCAATCCTTTATTGAACAGAATTTGTCCAACTCTTGTAGCAGCCATTTTACGTTGATAGATATACGATTTTTTGAAAATTAGATGAATGAAAGAGGAGTTTATGACGAAATGATTAACTTGTCCATAGTTTATGGACTGGGTAAGCAGTAGTCCACGTGGCTGCTGATATCAGTACTGTATCTAAACATTATTAAACCCTACGTTCATTAATAAAACCAGAATAGATAATTTCTATTGATATCATGTTATATGAAGATATTGCAAAATGTAGGTTTTTTCATGTATATATTTAACTCATAGTTGCATTTTCATGAAACAGTTCAGTTTAGGTTGTTAAAAATTTAATATGATGTAATTTGTGCAAGAAAACATTCTTTATATATTTGAGCTTTTATACTCTTATATATACATTCTTTATATATTTAAGCATTTATACTCTGCTATACAAAGTACAATAGAATCTTTGTCTCATTATATAAAATATTTAATATTGCAGTTTAACTCACTACTAATGAATATCATCAAAGGACTTAATATTAGGATCCTCTAGAATCCTAAAAGCAATATCATTATAATTAAAAATATATTAAAATAATAAAATTTAAAATAAAATAATAAGATAAATTAAATATATTCATGTCTGAATTCTGACTATTTCATTCAGTTTGGTAATTTTTTTAGCACAGAATTCATTAATTGTATTAAAAATATAAGATCTTTTAAGTTTGATTTTATATAACTGAGAATTGCAATATTAAATCAAGATATTGTTGTACATATATATATATGTATATAATAATATATTAATAATTAAGAAATTATAAGATTCTAATGTTTTTTGTACAACGAACAAATAAATAAGAATATAAATATATGATTACGTAACCACGGAAAAAGACAAGATTTATAAAAAAAAAAAATTTCATTGCAGTGATTAGGTAACTCATATAATGCAACTAATGAGTAAACAAAATTATTTTAATCTTTTCATTGCTGTATCTCGTTTGAAGATCAATGACCCAGATGATCCTGAATATAGGCAACCAGATCGGGATCTCGGAGTCAGTATCACAATTGAATTGTTATTCTCTTGAAAGAAAAAAAGAAATTTTTCATGTTATTGATATTCATATAAGGAGAAAAGGTATGATTGAAATTTAGAAAAGTAGAAGATAGTAAATAAATTAAAAAAAATATTATAAATTAATTAATAAAAAAATTAATTTTATTAACTTTAGAAGTGTAAAGAAAATTGGAATAAAACGTGCATTAACGTGAAAGTATTAAGGGATCCGATGTCAAAGTAGAAGTTAGTTAAGAATAGGAAGGATTTTTTAATGAATGAACTTGAAAACCTTCATCAGTTCATAGACATTCGTCTGGAACATCATGCAAGCACCGCTACACGTCATATTCTTTTTCATATTTGTTCTAAATGAACAATTAGCGGGTAATTACAAAATAATTATCACTTTGCAGATTTTTACGCATGTTTAAAAAATCTAAATCACTTTTATATAAAATTTACAAAACGCATATTATATAAAAAAATAATAATATTCAAAGCAAAATTTCAAATTTTTTTTATATGAACTTATTTGAATCTTTTTTTATTTTATGATAATATATTAATATTTCACAATCTCCGTCTTTGATTCTACTATTATTTATTTTAATTAATTAACAATTTTATTTATTTTTTTATTCACCACCTATTTTACTTAATACTAAATACACGTCTAATTTTATGATTTATTTTTAAACGAACATAATCTAGCAGAATCTGTTTTTTTCCTCTTCTGTTGAAACAACATTGATCTTGCGAAATATATCGATACTTTTTAATTTTATCGAACTTTAAGACTCAGTGGTATATAACGTTGACCCTAATTAATCACAGAGAGCAGTATAACTAGTAAATATCGGATTCTTATCAATAAAAGCTGTTCATAGCAGAAACTGTTCTTTATATATTTTAGAAGAAATTTGGGAGCAAGATTTGTCCATGGACATGCAAATTGGTGCTTCCACAGAAGGATATGATCAGATTGCCCTACATTGTGGGGTAGAAAAAATGATAGTGGAGTTGCAAACATCAAAAAATTTTTCAGGAGTAATTTACACACAAGGTAGCTTCTATTCCAGACAATCTACTTGTTTCTTGGATCCTGATCAAGGCAGAAGCTTTACTATGAGCATTCCCTTTAATCAATGTAACACAAAAAATGTAACAATTCCACAAAATCATTTGTAATCTGAAAAAGATTGTTACAAGATAACTCACAAATAAACTACTGGTTTAAGATATTTGTTTTAGGTTGATAATAGATATAGGAATACACTGATCCTCCAGCATGATGATGATTTGATTACTCCTGGTGATGCTGCTTTTGTACTGGAATGTAACTTTTTTAACTCCAGAGATCTCACAATTTCAGCAAAAATAAGTGAAGCTGAGAAAAAGTAATTAGATTTAGACTAAATGAAATTCTTAAATTGATATATAGATACTATGACTTGTAATTAAATTGTGGATATTTATGCAAATTCATATCTTTATAAAAAATAAGAAGACGAGATTTACACAAACAACTATTGGAAGATCTATTTAATATTGTATTGTAACTAAATATTTTTTATATTTTTCCATATTATTAATTAGTCATTTTGTTTGTGTACATTTTGGATCTTTAAATTTTCCACAGATGCACAAAAATCCAATCTAATTTTTACAAGTTTTTAGTTTCTCTTTACTTTAGACTTGATTGTATGGTTCTAAAGTTTCAGATTTTAGATTCCAGGTTCCCTAGAACGAAAGAAATGATTAATTATATTTTTATTTGTAGAAAAGTAAAATCAAGTATATCTTTGGTAGATGCTGATCCAGGAAGAGATAAAACAAAGAGATTTGAGTATGTGGTAAGCGACACCAATGAAGTTATCTTTGTGCCCAGTTCAGTTGCCAAGATCAACGACGAGTTATAAAGCATTGTCCAATACATAATACTATGTAATAAAACTTTTTATATTTCATTTTTACTCAAAACTATCTAGAACCTAATTAGAACCTAAATACTTCGATTTCATTAGAAATTTTTTTGTTTCCTTCTGCAAAAATCCTATCGTAACAGATAATATTTTAAGTCTCAGCCTTCAGAAAAATTACACTATATTCTATATTTAAATGAAGTTTACGAATCATGAAACGGGTCTACGCAACAAAATTTTTCCGCTGCGATGACTACTGATTATCAGTAATATTAGTTTGCTGCAAACGCGATATAATTTCATCGTTTGAATAATATGCTAGCTTGATAACCTTCTACCCTAAGAATTAGGGATCATCATTAATTTTGTTTATATAGTATCATAATATATTGATGTGAATTTTACAACAGAATCACATAATTTATTGTTCTCTTCTTCTTATTGTCATTGCATGCTTCATAAATAATTTTTTTACAAATTCCAAAATTACTTTTTTTGAAAACATCTTTTGTTTTTTCTGAATAATTTAGTTAGTGTCACTTTTGGAATATGCAAAATGTATGTATATACATAGAGAAATGATTGGATGAAACGTTAAACGATTTCTTCAATTCATATTCAATGAAGACATTCAGGAGTTTTCTCGATGGTATCCAGCAAATTATTTTAATGAATTGCTCGAAAACTCTAGAGCCATATGAATGAGAGACGTTATTTAATCGAATAATTAACTAGATTGGATAAATTCGTGTCAGCTTGATGAATATCTTAATGGAATCAATATTTCAACTATAACTATTTTATCAATTCGCACTATGTATACATTAAGGCCTGCTTATTTTACAATAATTTTCTGCTATTTATTGAAATTATCTGTGAGTGGCTAGATTCTTTTTATTTTTCAAGATTTTTTTTATTATTTTACAGACTAATCTTAAAAAAATTTAACTTAAATTTATGGAGCTAATTTATATTTAATTTACGAAGCTAAGTTTTATAAATCAGTTTTTTAATTATTTTAAGATCTAATGTTGGTAGATTAATTTTCGAATTTAATTTTTTTATTATATATGTAATTTTTGTGATCTAATTATCTGATTTTTGATTAACAGTTAAAGACATGAGATTTTGAAAATGAGAGATTTGAGAACGTCCAAAATTTTGAAACTTTATCATAGACAGATCTCCATTACAAATTTATAGATTCTGAATAGTCCAAATTCATTTTCAAAATTCTCCAAATCCTTATGAAATTTATCCTCAACAGTAAAAAAATTTTTCAATCACCTATATATAATATTAACTGCTTTTATTCAATAAAAATTTATAAAGAAACTTCTCCATCTATAGAAATCTAAATCCTACCTAAATATGCTTTCTTAATAAGAATTTTTCTTACTGCTACTCAACTATTTCTAAGCTCTAAACGGTTCAAACCATTTTCTTCAGTGAAAAATGCTTCAGCTGAAAAATGTTAAGATAATACGGTTTATCTAAAGACGTTTTCCACGAACAAACATGCCTCCAGTAATTTTTCCACCAATCAAAAATTTCACACCAATAAACAAACGTTACAATCGTATGTGAAAAGTCGATGGATTTTATCGTTTGAAGGCTCGCTCTAACCATGGTTTTTTCTCTCGTGTGGTATAATTTACGTCACACCTAATCGTACACGTCTCTCCCCACTATTGTTGGTCAGCTCGTTTACATACATATATAATAGGCCGGACAAATACGATTGACTAATGTTTTACTCACTTAGTGAATATTTCACATTTCTGACAAGGCAGAATGGCAACCGCCAAGTTCAAAAGTGTTTCACCATACACGCAACGACCATCGCCTCCGCCGCAGGATTATCTTTATAAAAAGTGACTACTCTTCCAAGATTTGTAAATGTTCGATGAGCCTTCTTCCAAGATTGATATTTTTGTGGAAAATCGAAGTCGAGATCTTCTTCTTTCATTTCCTAACAGACGTATTTTTCGTTATTAGATGTAGAGTAGAACCGGGTACTTTGTAGTTTTAATTATGAAATTAATTTATTTGGAAATAAATAAATGTATTTATTAGTGAATAAATTAGTTTTAAGCAATGAAGATATTTGATTGTTTTAAACAAATCAAATTTCGAAAAATTGCTTGCAAGTAGATTCCAAAATATTCGCCTTGGCACAGCAATTCAATTTCTCCAAGTTATTGCTCAAAACTGATTGTTGAACGTTCCTCTGGAATCTAGATTATGTACATGTTTTATTCTTCTCCTTCTTCTTTCATGAAAACAAATATTACAGGTATCTAGAAGATCTATCACTGAAGAAAGATGTACGTCATCCTAAAGTGAGACTTGCCCTGTTTGGAGTTGGTCGTGCTGGAACCATTCATTTGAGCAACATAATTTCCAATCCACGTGTGAAATTATTGTACATTGTAGACGATATCGAATCCAATTGGGCGAATCTTAAGGACTATTGGCACCTTGACGATGTCCTTTTATTGAACAGCAAACAAGTGGACAGAGTATACAACGATCCCAAGTAAGTGATTTAGATTTTTACATTCTTTCAGTATTGTAAAAAATTTCGCAAGTTTTTGAATTCTGAAATTTTTGAAATTTTATTAGTGATTTGTAAATTTTGTAAAATTTGTAAATTTTAAAACTAATTTAAGTAAATATATAGTACATAAAAAATTAATATAGAGCACATAATTGAAGTTAAATGATAGAAGTCCATTATTCTTTGTAACTAATGTTAAATTTTAATAATATTCCACTAAATATTTTGCTTTATCAATACGATGAATAATTATTCAAAATTGTTAATTTGTTTTTTTAAATGAGATAAATGTTTCTTCTGATTTACAAATATCTAAATTTTGAAACTTTTTGGAAGAAAATTTTTTTAAATTATTTTCTAGCACAAAAGTAAATTGGTTCTTAATGTTTAATTTAAAATATTTAATAATCTAAGATTAACCCAGAATTGAGATTTTCTTTTTATTTTCTTTTTATTGTTCTTTCGACGAATAAAAAGATCAATTCTCCTAATCAAAAATTTTTTTTTTAAATTTACATAATGCTTGACTTGAAAAATGTGATGACTTCTAATAGAATTTAATTAACTAAAATATTAAACTTTTGAATAAAAATCATTAATTTTCACTCAATTAGTTTTTAAAAATCTTCCATTCCCTCTTATCTACTTCTGCGATAAACTTACGGTATTAATATTCCAATATTGATTCTCTGATTATTAAATTTTTTTAAATGTCAAACTTTTCCATTAAGATTACATAATTACTTGATGATAAAAATATCATATATATAATCCAAAATATAATATGAAATTCGAGGGAGAACGCAGAGATCAATCAAGGAATTCGATTAATAATTGTTTTGTTCACAGTGTGGACGCAGTTGTCGTTGCTTCGCCAACGTTCACGCACGAGGGAATTGTAAGGAGAGCTTTAGAGGTGAAAAAGGCGGTATTCTGTGAGAAACCAATTGCCGAGGACACCGCCAATTCGATCAAATGCTACGAGACCGCCAGGAAGATCGGCAAACCTTTGTTCTGCGCCTTCAACAGACGATTCGATCCCAGCTACTCCGCAGTCAGGGACAGAGTGAGGAATGGAGAAGTTGGACACGTTCACGTTATCAAAACAGTCTCCCGTGATTCTCCTCTTCCTAGCATCGACTATCTGAAAATCTCCGGGGGTATATTCCATGACTGCATGGTCCATGATTTTGACATCATAACTTGGATCCTTGGCGAATATCCCGTTAAGGTGAGAATCTTCGAACGTTGCTGGTTATATATTAGGTAGAACGTTGGATTAATCCTTCGCCCACACTATGGAGATCTAGACTTATAAATATTATATACAGTTACAAAAGAATTTCGATTTAAAAACAGATTCAAGCTTTCATAGAAGATGAAAACCTTCGAGTAAATATTTGCAGTTGTAGTTTCAAGTGGAATGTACCATATATCCAGACTGGCAATATATATTACAGTCAACAAATTGAACTCATTTTCTCCATTCATCTACGCTTGCTCAATTATTAAATGTTGAAATATTTCCTGGCAGGTTTCAGCCCATGCACATGCACATATTCCAGAGATCAAAGCAATCGGTGACCACGACACAGTTGTAGTCACGCTGTACTTCCCATCAGGAACTTTGGGGATGGTCGACATATCACGAAACAGTTCCTATGGTTACGACCAACGTCTCGAGGTGTTTGGTCCTAAGGGTATGATTAGGGCAGACAACGAACAGCCAATACATTGTGTCACCACCCAGTACGACCAGGAAGGAATAAACAGCGCACCAATCTGGTATTCGTTCGCCAGCAGATTCATGAATGGCTATCGTCGTGAGCTGGACCACTTTGTCGACGTTGTACTTGGTAGAGCCGAATCTTCTGTTCAGCCCAAAGAAACTCTAGCTGTAATTAAAATTGCGACTGCGTGCCAAGAATCAGCTCGCACTGGTAAAATAGTGGACATAACATGGGCACCAAACGAGCTGCCCTAAATGAAACTAATACGTTTGGCGAATTTCTATCGTTTACATGACATTCCATCATTTTATAAACTGCACAATCGTGGCACATTGGCGATCCTCTCTCGTGAGATGAGGGAAGGCTGAAATTATTTTCGTTGAATTGCAACGCGCGAGTGAAAAGACCTAGGTGAATTTTGCTTGTTACACATTCTTTTTTTCTCTCCTTTTTTTTTTTTCTTTATCTTTTCTAGTATATTCTTTTTATAGTAATATAAAGAAAATACAGAAAAATACCATATACCCTAAATAGATAGTAATGATACGAAATTCACGTTGTCTGTTGCAGACACGTTCATAAATGTTTGTAAAAACGGAACAATAAAAATTCCCACAAGTTTATTCGTATCTCTTTTCTCTTTCCCGTTGAAATAAAAAATATAAGAAATAATGGAAAATTCTTTATAGATTCGTCGATACGTCAATGCGATTCTTTTTACGTTACAAAATCATTTTTCTCTTTTTTTTCTTTTTGCTTTTAAAAGTCATACAGTTACAGAGGAGGAACTAATATATTCACGCAAGGAGGTATCGCAAGCTGATTTTTGGTCGCGAAGCTCGAAATGTCCGTGAAATCGTGCGATATATCTCTTCAATTGAAAGATTATTCTCTTAGGTGTCTTTCTTTATCTAATCTAAAAAAGTTTTGTAGAACATCTACAAATGTGACACAACTTTCATGTGTACATAACCTTTATGAAAGACAATAAGCTGCATCACTAACTCAGAACTTGATTCTTAATCCATCTTATATTTATTCCTAAATTCATGTATTGCGGTAGTAAATAGATTAGGTTATCAGAGCATGTTGACATCCACTTAAAACTCGACAGATTCGATTCCATGTATCTATCAAAAAAAAAAAAATAATAAAAAAAAATACAAAATCGGAGAAGAAGATATAACTCTACGAAGTAGCCATTTGCTACTTGAATAAAACACGGCGTCTATGTATATAATAGCTGCTCGACAAACTAAAATTTGAGACACGATTTCATGCTAATTGTCGAGCAACGAGAGTAGCTCGCCTGAGCTGAGTTTCGATTCTGTAGTTTCCAGATTTTTACAACAATCGATATGAAAAATCGCTACCAAGAATCACATACAAATCTTCCTTATCTTTACTGCGCACATACGGAAACTTTCATTAATTTCTCCTTTCCTCCTGCTGTCAATTTAAAATTTTAAAGATTTAGTGAACAACGCATCGGTGGCTTGAGTTTTGTCCCCGTTAAATCTACGTAATTCCGCGATAACTTGTACTCTGCTAAATCCTAGAGACTCGATCTCCTTCACTGTTTCCTCTGTGAATGGGTCGTGGGAGAAGACTGTGGTCTCTATGGGGCCTAGTCTGCTCGATGTCCCGCTCGAACTATTGCTTTCTTGGCCATCTGGAAAATATAGTATTCATAGAAAATAAAATATTTTTCTTATCTTCTAAAAGCCATAAATAGAATCATAAAGCATCTTAAGATCACTAGTCCAGGCAAATTGCAGGGATTTGTCTTAGCTGGATCTTCCTAGGAAGAAGAAAGATATAGTGTATATACAAATAGGATAAGTATTTCTATCTTGAAATTTAGAGAAAATGCAGTCGATTATTTTAGTTTCTGAATGGCTTAAATATTGTTAAAAATAAAGATTCTACATTCTTACATTTTCACTTGCTTCACAAGGAAAAAATATAATTTGATAAGTTGAATTTATAAATATTATGATCTCTATTTGAGTCAAAATATATAATAAAGGAATCACAATAAAATTATTAGATTTCATACATCTTCGAAGTATAATACAAGTTATTTTAATACAAGATCTGACGAAGGATCATGGTAAGAAAGGATAGCCTGGACTGATACATACTTACCCTGCTGACGACGTTGTTTCTTCGCGTCTCTGGAACCATACTCCAACGCTCGCTGAGGTCCTCCTTTCTTGTCATCCTTATCTTCTTCCACATCGTAAATACTCGCATCGCTGTAACCGCTTAACCTCAGCCACTCTGGCAGTTCCCCTAATTGGAAACAAGTATTCAGATTGTGTAACCGATGAAGATATATTGTGCAACCATAGGAATGTTTAAAATCACCTTCTGCTAAAAATGGCGTTTCAGCGCCAGTAGTGCCGATTTGCAGCACGTTTTTCTTCAAATCTATGCAACACTGATGCCTTTTCAACATATCCAGACCTAGTAACATGTCCATGCTTTGCTCTGCGAGGACAGTGAACGACGTTGTTAGATGGTCGTTCCCAATTTGAATTTGTACCATGTGAATACGACCAATGATGCGCTGGGTTCCAACACCATGGGCTATACCAGCCCACCTTGTGTCCACTAATCGCATTATGTGGCATCGTTCAGCACAAGCGTCAGACATTATAGTAGACTGTGCACCTGAATTTTAAGAAAGCAACAAATATTGCGAAATTTTGTTTCTTCTTTTTTCTTTTTTTGAAAGGGAGCGAATTCACGGAATCATGGATACAAAAATACAATGTGGATGAGAGCGCGGTTCGATATCTAAATTTAAACCTCTCCCACCATGAAGAATTACACTGCAAAGAATGACTTTCAAAATGCAGAAATTTAAAAATAGACAGAATGACTGAAGATCTGCCGAACAAAGAAGCATAAAAATAACTTTGTCTCCAGTCCAATTTTATACGCGCATTTACTCGCATATTATTATTTCACTATGATCAATGTCGATGCTTACCTGTATCAATAAATGCTTTAACTGGGAATCCATTGACTTTACAATTAACATACAACATAACAACTGATCCAAATGTTTCTGGATTGTATTCCATTGCAGCTTCCATGTTTGCCTCTATGTTTTTCTGCCTGATATCCTCCGCGATAAACCTCTGTGCTTCTGTATCGAATGGATCTGCATTCATCATTCTCAGTCTCTGTGCTTCGCGTTCCTCTCTCAATTTTATTTGCTCCCTGAGCACAGTAGTAAATCTCTCTGCGAAGATCAATAGACAATCTATTACGTAGAATGAATTCCCAGATTTGCAAATAAACATATTTTTTGCAAGACTTACCCAGATTTCCAGAAAGTAGGGCACTAGCCAATTTAGGATTATTCTGGCTTAGCAATGCTAGCTGATCCGGATTGGCTAAAAACATGTCCCTTATGATCTCTGGATCGTCTTCCTTTCTAGGATTTTGCATTCTGGCTATAGTGCTGCTGGAGGCGGCTGACTGTCGACTGTTGGATGCTCCTGGCACTCTGATGGAACTGAAGTCCAACATGGGAATAGCTAGAGTGATATGTATCTTGGGATTTAGTACATTCTCTTCTCTACTACGCAGCAGTGCGCTCTTATAATAACTGATCTGACTGAAGCGCACGGCAAAAACGGGAAGCTATTGCTATAACGAGAAGTCAAACTCAACGCAAAACGAGTACAAAATGCCTTGTGCTAAGAAAAAACTGAGCCGGGCAGGTGTGCGGACAAAAGATGAGAGGAACTTAACAAAAAATGAAAAGAGATTCTCACACGAAGACAAAAGACTGTATTCTAATGGATACACTATTCTATAAGTTGAGACCAAACGGGGCAACGATAAGTACATGCTCGATCGAGTCTGTTAAGTCAAGTTCAAGTCCATTGGGATCGTGCGTTGCATGTCTGGTATAAAACTTGATCGAGAGAGAGAGACGTGAAACAATAACAGTGAGAAATAAACGTAAATCGAAGCCGAAAAAGCTAACCTCACGACCCGCCTCGATCGCCACTTTAAATAATGGTGCTGTATTGAAGCTGACCTCCGTTTAAGGGGTGAAGGTTCAACTCGGCCCCGCTCTGATGCATGTGCTGCAATATCACCACGTCACCGTCACGAATCCCGTGATCCTTCAGCGATTTCTTGTCGTTCATCAACGGCAGACCATTGAAAGCGATCACCATCTCGTGGACTGGCACGTTGCTCTCGATCTCGCACAGAGCCTTGAAACTCTCCAGTTCCATGTCCTCGATCACGTCCAGGACGAAGATGTCGTCGCTGAGCGTGGTTACCGTTACCTTCATCGTGGCGTGTGTGCCCCGCGGACTTATCTGGTGGTCTGTACTTCGAGTCCAGTGCTTGCACAACGATCGTACGATACTAGAGGGGCGAACCGGAGGCAAAGTCACAGCAAAGTCGAGCCACTGGGTGTGCAGGCGAAATTTGACGCGAGAATTTTTGCCGCTCCCCTCGCGCACGGAACGGCCGTACGAAGAGCGGCTACAGGATGTAAACAATAACCCAGCTCAGCGAAAATACTGGCTCGCCTCGCAGGCTTGACCTGAAGGCCACACTTGAATCACCTCGAGATATCGAGGTCTTCGAGGGGGCTTCGAGGCCGTTAGAGACGCGCGGGAAGTTTGAACTTCGATTTCAACGCGTCATTCTGTGACTTGCTATTCGCGTATTAGAAAAGCCTTAATTGATTTCAATTACAATGTTCTTCTTCCCTCACTAGGAAAAATGAATCATCTAATTGCGTCTACGATAATTTCGTTTTCCGTAGTTTTTCTGTTTGGAGAAATTTAGAAACGTGTGATGTTGAATTACGGTGTATGATCGATTGTACGTTGATTTGATTCATTATAGCCTATGTTTTTAATCAATAACAAGAATGTTTGAAGTAATGATTAACTTGAAATATGAAAAATATTAATTTAGAGGATCTCTCTGTTTTAACTTTGGACGATAATTTAGAGTCCTACTGTGTGTTATCAGCGACAGAGGGCATAACAATGAACTATTTCAAATTTTTAAGACCAAGATATTTAAATAACAAATATTCCGACTTTTTACCTAAAAAATTATTCTTCTAATTATTTCAGATTGCACAAATAGATTCCACACGGCTCCACAGATGTTAAAATGTTTGCATAATGCCAAACTCATGGACTCGCTCACAATAGGATTAATCGGGATGTCGATTTATTGTAGATTTCAATATCTATAATCAACGAACACCGGAACCCCATGAGCGCACAATTTGGGAATTAAACGATCCATAGAAAACGCTCAGATCAACGTGAAGATAACCTTATCTCTTTCAGTCAATAGATCCTATCTTGATCCAAAAGTGTTCGTGGCATCCATAATTTCCAATCTAACGCATTTACTTTTCCTAGAAAAATTATACAGCTTCGTATATCATTTTGTATCTCATATATAAATAATATATATACCTATTCTTGTATTAAATATACAAAGTAGCTAGTATAATATAGCTAATAGAGCTGATTCTACGTGCAAAAATAAATTGAAAATATATAACAAAATACAGTAAAAATTTGAACTTTGAATCAGTCATTATAATGTTTAGTTATTATATTATATAATGTTATATGATATTTAGTTATTATAATATTAATAATAATTAAATATTTCACCGCAATAAAAATTCTCCAGGCGAAGTATTTCCTGATTTTGAATGTTTCTCGTTTTCCTTTAATATTTTGTCATAATGGAACAGTTCCATGGATAGGAAAAAGCATAGGGTGAAGGCGGTGTAGTCAAGGGGATCATGCCCTCCTGGAGGGCACAGCCACGAGGACACCACAGGGGGTGCCATCCCCCATGAACCGGAAACGGATGCAGAGGTGGATATTAGACAGGTGGCTCAGAATTTTGTGTCGGACAGGGCTGATGGTTAAATTAGCGCATGATTTCGACGGCTCGCTCGATTACACTCGAAACCGGATGTTCCGAGACAAACATTGTGCAAGGTGTGCCAATATTGTATAATACTGTTTCACGCCATTTAATGATGTTTTGGACA